ATATATAGGAATCCTATAAGACATTTTCGTAAGGGTGAAGAGATTCCATTCCTTTCGTTTCGTTTCATTTCGTTTCATTTCCTTTCGTTTCGTTTCGTTTCGTTTCATTTCGTTTCGTTTCATTTCGTTTCGTCATTTCGGTTTCGGCGTGCTTCTCGATCTCGCAGATTTCGATTTAAAACGGGGGAGCCGGGTATGAAAATTGCGACTCGAAACTGCGGGAATTGCGATTGTGCCAATCAGGGAGATTGGCAATCGGTCTCGTACAATTACGGATAATGTGGCAGTCTCCCACAAGTTTATTAAAGTTAACAAGCCGCTAATGCGGTCCTGCTTCGCGACTCCAAAATTGGCACTTCCCCTAATGATGTCTAACCATCTCCACCAGCCAGATGGTCCCGCGAGTCCGCCTGGAATCTTTTTTTCGTCAGGATGAAACGGGACAGATTTTCATCCGTCCCGTTTCCCGCAATGAACTGCCAGTAAAAAAATAAATAAATAATAATAAATAAATAAATAATAATAAATAAATAATAAAAATAAATAAATAAATAATAATAAAAATAAATAATAATAAATAAATAATAATAAAATAAATAACAACCGACGATCGTTGCAGGCAAAACGGAGACGAGCCGGTGTCGACCCTGACGCAAGACTTCCACACGCGGCTGGACAACCTGCTGCGGACCCTGGTCCACGCCAAGCCCCACTTCATTCGGTGCGTCAGGGCCAACGCCCAGGAGATCCCCGAGCGTTTCGATCGCCTCGTCGTCGGCCATCAGATCCGAAGTCTCCAGGTCCTCGAGACCGTGAATCTCATGGCAGGAGGTGAGCGAAGTTCGCCGATTTCAATTTTTAAATACCTTTCAAATAGTTCGATCTCAAAATGGGAACAATTTGTGAGGAAGCAGGGTGCTCTCTTAGCCTCCTTTGAATCATAAATGACACAGGCAATAATATAATTGAAAAAAAAAAGGGAATGAGAGATAAATAGAGAAACCAGGTGTGTTAAAGAGATTCTCTCTATAAAAAAAAAAATTTTTACTTTACCTTTAAGCCAAATATACATTTCAGATCTATGCATATTTGCTCTGATGGCCAATAAATTATCTCGGACCAATAAATTATCTCGACGATCCCGACATCCCACGCAGGGTTTCCCCATCGGATGCGATTCAAGGCGTTCCGTGCCAGGTACAAGCTCCTGGCTCCCATGAAGCAACTCGTCTACGTCCCCGGATCCGGGCAGGACGACAAGGTCATCGAGGACTGTCGGCTCTTGCTGGACTACTTCGGTCGGGCCATCGACGATCACAACGGGCCGGGGAATCTCACCATCAACTGGGCCATCGGGACCAGGCACATCTTCATCAGGTGAATTTTACGGAATCGGCGATCGGGAACGGATCGATTTCGCTCGTGCTGGCTCAAATTAATCGAACTCTTTGGGAATTCGTGTAACCGGTCGATCGATGACCTGTGATCCGCGTAAAATTATATAAATAATCGATGATGCTCGACCGGGCCGATAAACATCTGTCGGTTTAACGACGAGTCGATTTGGACGGGAAGACTGACGACTGTCCCGTCCCCGTGACGACAGCGAGGGAGCGCGCCAAAAACTGGAGAAGGTGCGAATGAGGACGCGGGAGAGGGCGTCGACGCTGATCCAGAGCGTGTGGCGGGGCTGGCACCTGAGGCGGCGGTGGCCGGGCCTCCAGAGGCAGTTGCAGCTCTGCACGCCGACGAGGATCATCAATCCCCACGCGCCTAATTCCAACACGGTCTCGCAAGGTACTGGGATCTGTCTCGTCGATGCGACTGGATTTATGGTCCGTGTCGAAAGCCGTAGTAATTTTTGGCTTCCTTCCGTCGCAGGTCCCGGTAGCAACCACCTCGGAGGTTCCACTCGGAACAGACCCAGACCCCAACCCATTGCGGGGACCCCGCCGCCCGAGGCGCCCGATAAATGTGATCCCAAAGCCATACAGCAGACTTGCTCCCGCTTTGGACTCGATCTGGTGAGCCTCTCGCGTTTGGATTCATCGCTCTGTCGAAATTTGAAATTTAATTCATCTGTGACGTCCAAGGCTGCCTTGCAGGAAAGGCCACCCCCCCTGCCCCCGAGTCGGTCCTACACCATCACGGGGAACACGAAATTGGGATATCCGCAGACTCGGGTCATGAAGGCGTCCTATCCCGGTACGTGCAGCGTCTTTCGTAAGGGCAAAAAATAAAAAGGTCACGAGCTTTATGCGTCTGCAGATGAGATGCCGTGTGAGATGACGACGGGGAATTTGTAGGTTTTACGAGCAATATCTGCGAGTGATGTCACAAAGAACTCGATGGAATCAGTTGTTAACTACGTAACGGTTATTCTCCAGCGCGATGTCAAAAGGGCGAGTGCGACTGACCTCGATGAAAGAAACACACCGACTGACACATCGATGGACACACCCAAAAGATGGGTGTGTCCATCGATGTGTCCCTCGGCGATCGGCACTCGAGGCAAACGAACTGACGCACGAGCTCATTTCACGTACGGAAAGAGCTCTTACTCGCGTTCAGAGCAGGGAATTTCACCGAAAATTTCCAGAAAACTACCTATACATATTAGATCCGACAAAATTTCGAGGCGATACGGTGCCCCATCTGCAGACGCAAAAATTTCGTGCCGTTTTTCCACCCAGTACATTCCATCCATCACCTTTATTCATGGAACCGCAGAGGACGGAACCGGAGACGAGGTCCTGCTGAAGGGAGAGACAGTGGTTGTGATAGGTGCCGGCCATCGACGGGGCTACCTCATGGTCGAACACAAGGGCCATGTCATTCAGGTCCCCTACCAGTATTTGGAACTCAAACCTGCTCAAATCGGCGTGGATATCTGAGTGCAATCTTTCCTCACTCGTTTGTTATTTTTTTTTTTGACTTCCATCACATTTCCTTCAGTATTTTTTTTTTGTTTTCTCGTTTCGATCTGTACATAAGGAAAGAGCTTATCAAGATTCTCTGAACTTCATCTGTGAGTCTCAGGCTTCCTGTTTTACGACGAAGGGATTTGTGATGGTATTTTTTTTTTCTCTCTGGAATTTTCTTGGCGTTGAAACGGAGCCAAGAAGGAATTTCTCGTGCCAAAATCTCGTTTTTTTTTATTTTTTCGTCTCCAAGCGTGCCAATCAAGCTCATATCGAATAGCACAATTTTTTTTTTTTCCTTTATCGTTTCTGTGTGCATTTTGCTCAGGGTCAAGTGACTTGTTGTTGGTCTTTCCTAATGCTCCTTTTTGTTGTCTTTCCGATGTAAGTTATTCTCAAGAAATATAGAACATATCTTTGAAATTTCGTTCGTTTCTTGTGAGAGCAAATCGCATTTAATCCAAGTCGTCAAGGGGATCTAGAGTCTTTTTCAGAAATCGGGACTCGAAACCCCGTAATTTTTTTTTCGAAAGATAATTGATTTGGTGACACGATTGACTGCCAATTGACTGCCACTTCCGGTCCGGTTTCCTTCAATCACCAGTTGCGATATTACAATGCAATATCACTCAACCGACATTTGAAGGGCCCGCTCTCGATGACCTCGCATTTTATTTTGCGAAAGCGCCGCAAATGAATTAATCGATTCGCTTCCACCGAGGAGAACCTGTGTACCGTCGTGTGACCCGCTTCCGGTACTGGGATCTTCCATCGCCGGTCTCATGGGATCAATTACATAATGCATGGCATTAAGTTTTACCGTTAGCAACCGAAAAAAGAACGAGAGCACCGCTTCGTATCGACCCCTGAGGTATTCTTGGATGCAAGGGGTCGATCGGTGGCAAGGAAACCGTTATGCATTTATTAGTGGGCCGAGAGTGAAGGAAATGGGCTTTCTTTCGAGCGGCTAGGGTCTATAAATGACGCATTTATGGATCATTTGCTCTTTTATGCGCTTGGCTGTGGGGAGTCTTCACCGTGGAATGAGAGGGATTCACTTATCGTGCCCGAAACCAAGTAATTGTTCCCATTCACATTCTGAAGAAAGGGTGGATGCATCAGCGGAATTTCGACGGAAGCTGCTTCGACGCGTCGCGTATAGATGCTAGCAGAGATTGGCATCTCTTAATATGTGCTTGATATGTAGCGGTGCTGGATATGTAGCGGTGCTGGATATGTAGCGGTGCTGGATGTCGATGCGGCGCGGCGTCCATCGAAACGCCGAGAAAGTTGATTGAGGATCGTTTGAGGCGTGTCCTGGCGGGGAAAATCGAAGGGCGCGGAACCTCATCCGTCTTTCGCATTTCGGGCTCGGAAATTCGTTTAGTTCCGGTGTCTGTGAAGATCCTCTTCCGGCTTTTTCGCCGCCGTGAAAGTGAAACGCGAGGCTCTTCGTTGCCTCGTTGGAGAAATCGCACCGCCCAACTTCGTTTTCCAATTTGTGAAATTTTGTGAATTGTGTGGAAAACTCCAACCTTGATCTGTTTTTTTTTTTTCATTTTTTTGCGGTCAAATGAAAGCGTAATTCATTGCATTAGTCGAAGCGGAAGAGAAAACATTTAGCTAAACGAAATCGGAAAAACGAAGCATGAAAGAGAAAGTCCATCCTCGAAACTTTTGCTTTCTTTGTGAAAAGGGCTCCTCGCTTTTTTTTTCTTTCCATTTTGCAAGTCATCTCCCTTGCAGTATTCATCATCGCTCTATCGAATCCCGATGCTCGGCATAAAAGCTCGCCGGGTGAGACGAAATTTCGACTGTAAAATCATTTTTAAAAAACTGCACAAAAATGCAAATATTTCAAAACACTCGTGAATAGAGCATTCCCTTCTCGAATGGGATGGATCCCAAACCCACGGAGTTCAAAATGCAATCGGACTCGAGAGCAAAAAATATTAAGGGGGAGTTGGAATCGGTCAAACATATTCTCGGAACCAGAATATGAAATCTCGCACGAATAGAAACTTTGCTCGAGGCCAGGATTTCGACTATTGGATCGAATCGCGTAGCATGCGACCATTCAATGCAAAGTGGAAAATGCATGGGGTCGAAACCGTCAGGAACGCAGCATTAAAGCTCCTCGGCATCTAATCACTTAGCGGCAAAAATAGGATTAGGAGGAAGAATAGTTCCAGGACTTGGGCGACATCTATTGGCTACAACTTCAACTACCAGTAGTCTTTCGGAACCGTAGATGCTTCTATATGTATTGATACTTCGTACGGTATTGAATTCTTATAGGAGCGCTTCCATCGATTGCAGGTAGTATTATTTTAAGCACGAAAGGTGTGCTTAAGTCAATCGCTGAGAGGCACCGTTTCCTGCTTACAGTTCATACTGTATGGAAACCAGCAAAAGCAGAGAGGAAATCCATGGCACATTCGAGAGAGAGAGGAGGCGCATAAGGCCCGGCCCCCCCCCCCCTTGAGGAGAAAGTAGAGAGTGGGTTGACGATTTTTTTCCCCTTGCGAATTTCATAACATTGAAACCAAATTGCATCTAGCACGCCTAGCGAATATTATAATTATGTATAATATATCTTGTGTCTTTTTCATCCATGGAAACTGCATAGATATAAATTTGCAATGCGAACTTGGATGACCGAACAGCTCTCTACTTGAAGCAAAGGAACCTAAAGACATGTTAGCTGTTGCTAGCAGGCACCCACTCAGAGGCAATGCAGAGGATGAGGCCAGTCTTCCTGCTCTTGTATCTGATCTAATACTTCAATTGAAGGAGACCAAAAGGTGCGGAGGCTGTCACTTCTGAAGGCCCCATCACAAGCTGATTTTGCTCATATATGACTGCTTCCATATGAGCTATGAGCTCCTGTAATCAGGGTCTAGGGTTGGCCTCCCACTCCTATGTGAGTCTATGAGCTGCTCACAGACCCTGATTAGACGTGCTCATAGCTCATATGGGAGCTGTCAAATATGAGCAAAATCATAAGGTGTGACGGGGCCTTAATGCGTGAGGCCTACGACGCTATGCCCTTCCAGGCCATCTACGGCCTAAAAGGCTCTGCCATTTCGGGCCATAGGCTAGGCCGTCTAATACCGTAATTGATTTATTTGCGAGGTGTGGTCTCTTAAGGGTTGCCCCATTCATAATTATGATAGTATAGACAGTTCATATTTCAGATGCAAAGTCCATACCGCAAATTTGTCTTAATATGGATCATCTTCATCTTCATCCATCATATCATCTTGTCATACTTTAAACTTAAGATCTTTTAGTTAATAAAACGCAATAGCAGCTAAAGCCACTCTTTTCTTTGAGCTAGAGTAGTATGCCACACTCTTAAGGCATCGATGGGCACTTTGGCTGAAGGTGGCCGTAGGCATTTGCATCAGTGACAAATGCGAGTATACTTCATATATTTGTCCATATTTCCATATTTTCACAGATCATATGTTCATATTTTGCTAATTTCAAAGGTGGCAACCCTAGGTCTCGATGCTGATAAAATTAGCTGGACGGCAACGCTTCCAGACCATCTTGAGGATTGTTTCACAATTTTTAATGTTTGGTTTGAACCGTTCTGCTTCATATCTTTCTGTAAACATTTTCAAATATCCGCCCATTAGACGGCAAGCGTAGCGGCCACAGGCCGCTAGTGCTGTGGTATTGCTAGTGCTACGGGATACGCCTATGCATCGTCAATGAGCTTGAAGAGGCCACCAGGCTCTGGTCCCCCATACGCGATTCTGGGCAGGAGTAGAACTGTCAGAGACCGGGCGTCGCTCGTTTTGTGTCAATTGAGAGTGAATCCAATTATTATCAGAGATTTCTTTCAGTTATTTCCGATCCTAATGGATATTTTCAATTTTATGGGGAATGGTCTCCTGAACATTTTTGAGGAGACCGGGTCTTCCTTGCCTCCCCTTGCCTGGCAAGCCGGAAATTTCCTAGCAATTAATGGTACCTGAACTGACTCTGGGCACAGCCAGCCCCTACGACCCCAGAGTGATCAAGTGCATCTCTTATATTCCTGTGTGATCAAGTGCATCTCTTATATTCCCGTGTGATCAAGTGCATCTTTTATATTCCCGTGCGATCAAGTGCATCTCTTATATTCCCGTGATGACGGGCGTATGTAATGATGAAGACACTCAACACCTAATTTCAATCTGGTACAAAGAGCAAATCCGCGAAATGTTTTCGCGGAGAATTCGTAACGCCCAAGTGTATCAAATACCTGCTCGACTGCAAGAAAAGGGAGCAACTAATCTGCAGCGGTGCAAAGCAAAATTAAACTCCCGAAGAAGAGCTACCGCGAAGTTCGCGATAAAAACCAACGCAAAGGCCAAAAAAGCAATGTGATGAAAATCTACAATGGTTTGGACTCCATCCTGGGCAATCGAGCTGCTACTCAGCCACTGAATGAGATAGATGGATTGCGGGAGATGATGTCATTGACGTGGTGAACGGTGAGTGCTCTGCTTTTATGTTTTATTTTATGATTTACTAAGGCGTGTACATAACCCTACATTTTCCCATAGAATCTTGAATGGGAAAATAAACCCCCAAAATTGGGATAAGTGGAAATAAACCACTCGAGATGAAATCACAAAAAAACTATTGAAGTTTTAAGCTTGCTTTTAATATGCTTATATATAAAATCACTTAATATTGTATATATTTCATATATTAGGATCATTTAATATTTTAATTCATTAACTGGCTTCTCCCCCCCTCTTTTGCCTATCTGGGAGTCCTCTTTTGGGTGGCATTTTTTTCTAAGACCTGAATGATGCAGGGTGTTGCTCTTCTTGTATGAGGAAGGATTCGGAAAGAAAGATGTCTGCTTGAAACATTTATTCCAAGAATAAACAGAAAAAGGGCTATACCTGCGAAATACCGAAAATTATCCGAATAAGTTAGAAACTGAGCAGCTATAGCAGTGGTTCTCAATCTTTTTCCTGTTGCGACCAATCAAGTTCTCTTCCCATCTTTATGCAACTCA